AATTAAAAATAGATAAATAAAATAAAAAGTGTTTCGGAACTGAGTTTAGTATTAAGCAACCTATTTTTAAAATTAAAAGTTGTGCTTCAGGTAGAGGCGTTCCTATTGGTAGTATAATCATCAAAAATAGTTCAATAGTTCGCCCGCAATGGCTCTTCAAAATTTTCGCATGATCAGTAGAGCCATTGCGGGTGAACTATTGGACCGCCTTGATGATTTTATTACGGTTAGAATCGTATGGATCTGAAGAACAACTTTTGTTATTACAAAAAAATACGTTAACTTAATGCCAAACCAGTTCCAGAGCACTTATTATATTTAGGGGTGCGAATTCAACCTTTATTTCGAATTAACGCACATGCGCGTACTCAAAATAACGCGTAAGTTAATTAATGAACGCGGCAGGTGGGTGTTATTTCGCGCTTGTACGGTATATTAAGTTTTTTTTTTATATTCGGTAACCTAAAATGACTTTTCAACGCTGTTGATCAATTTCCGGATGCGAAGTGTTTACGTTGTTTGAAGCAAAGCGTATTCCAAAGTACATTTACTTTAGGATAATTTGGGACAATTTAGAAATTTTAGGACATCCCAAAACAAATCTTTTATTTTAGGATGATCCGAAATCAATTTCATACCGTTAACCTTATTTCTGACATGTTTCTGAGAACCCATTTCTCCAATAGAAGTTTTCACAAATATTTTTCGACGACAACTTAATTCTCAGCATGAAATATAATAATAGTCTATAGTTTTTTAATGTTCAGAGAAATGAGAGTTGGAAATAAATAACTTATTGGAAAATTTTGTTAACGATCAAATAATATTTCGGGAAAATAAGGTATCAAAATCATACCTTGTCAGTAAAATTCATTGTTTAATTGCTAGTAAAAGCTTCAATTATCAAATTAGTTAAATTGTTGTCGAGCTATTATTATTTAAATTGAAAGAAAAACCAATTAAATACTGATTTCTCTTTGTATGTCGGGTTCAGAAAATCGATTCTATTTTGAAGTGATGCACATAAGCGTCTTACAGTAGATAATGCACGACTTGATAAACAATTTATTACAACCTTGTGAAAGCTAATCTCTCATGTATGTGTCGTAAAAGAATTTGAAGTTATTTGGATTTAGAAATCAGAATCAACTTGTGCTGTTTTTTTTTTTTTACCAGAAAAAAAAAAAATTGAAATTAAAAGTTCCTTAACTAGAAATGTTGTTAAAAGCAAAATTTCATTATATAAATAAATTTCTTGAAAAAAAAATCCCAGATTTATACATCTAATGACAAACAAACCTTTTTTATTGTCTGATTTTGGATATAAAAGATAGATTTTATTAGACACAACAATCCTTATTTTATAAACAAATCTTATTATTGTAATCACAAATAGAACATTTACAATGCAAAATAAATTAATAACATTACCATATTTTTATGTTAATCTTAAAATATATATTATTATCATTTAAGTAGCTTTTAATAAGATTATCAACTACGGTCTGACCTTCACAAGTACAACACCCTAAATGCATGCACTATGAAAAAGGAAAAAATATAAATAAATTTATTCATTAGATCCAATTTTATAAGTAAAGATCGGCAAAATAGCATTGATTTGATTGTGTGAGAGTGAAAACGAAACTTATTATAGTAAATCATTATATGTAACTGCAGGTTTTTACTCTCACGCGCTCATTTGATGTATGCATATTGAGCATATGGATGAAATCACACCACTCAGATGAAGTTTGCCAAAAGTTAATTCATGAGAAGTTGCGAGAATGCGAACCACTTCTACTACAAGTTGTACAATATATGAAAGCTAGTGCAAGAATATCTTTTATGCGTAAATATAGAGGTTCCAATCAAAGTTTAAAATTGGTATGCAAAAGATACTTAAGTGCAAATTTTTTTTTTTGAAGGGAATTTATATATTGTGCAAGTAAAATTTTTTAAAAAAAGTTGCGCAAAAATATGAGACATATATTTGTGCAAATAATTTTTATTCTGAACTCTAAACACTGGTTCCAATGATATATTAAAAATAAAAATAAGGCGAAGTTCTTTGAAGTGAAAAAACACTTTTAATTCTGTCGATCAACCCTTTATATATTTCGGCCGTGGCCATTAGATAATGGGTTTAAATTTTCACTACCATATTTTGTTATCATATTTTATTATTACCATTATTTTATTTTATTTCTACGCTTTTTTACATTCATTTCTTAAGTTATTAATTATTTTTCGCAACAGTTATTCATCGATTACTTTATTTTCTTATAGTTGTTTCATTACCTCAATCATTTTATTTTTATTGCTTAATTTTTGCTTTTTCCACTATTGATTTATAATTAATAACCTACTATTATCGTTAATCAAAATAAGCTGAGAATTTATATATAGGATTGTCTCGAGTTATTGCAAAAAAAAACCAATTGCTATAAAAACAGAAATTTCAAAATATTTACTTACAAACCAGCTATTTAAAAGATTGGTATGTTAGAAACTTGAAATCGATTGGATTAAAAATCAAAGTTATTATGTGATATACAAGTTTCAACCTCATCGTTATAAATGATGTTTATAAAGTTTCAACATTAAAGGTGTTATGTAATAACAAACGATCAATGTAACTTTCTTAAATACGCGTTTCTTAACTCACAGCGTTAGTAAAGAAGTACGTTAAATAAAACATAAATCTTACTTTCTTTGAGAATTGGACCTCTTAATACTTACGTACGACCTAAAGCTAAATTTGGCCATAAATCGTAAATTGCATGTGTCTACAATGAGTAAATTATGAACATGTTAAACTGGCTTGCATATTAACTTGTTAGACATGACTTGCTTACTAAGGTGTTATACATTGTTTGTATATTCTGGAATTCATTTTGGTTTGTTTTACAGTTATAGTTCATATTTGAGTTTATCTTGCTTACTGTTGGGTCGTTATTACCTTTAACATATATAGCATGATGCACTAAGCTTGTTGGTGAAACTAATTAGTTTCACCAAAAAACGGTGCACCAACATTGCACCATCTGGTGCACCATTGAAAATTAGGTTTTCTATAACTATCAGTACACTAGTTTCACCAAAAAGCGGTGCACCATTGAAGATTAGTTTCACCAACAAGCTTAATGATGCACTACATGCGTCTCTTTATCCGGAATCCATCTAAGTGGATTCCGAATCATGCGTCTCTTTATCCGGAATCCATCTAAGTGGATTCCGAATCCGCAGAGTTCCAAGCTCACCTAAGATACATAAATAATGTTTCAAAATTGATAACTTCGTTTCTTAAATTAAAATTCATTTTTTTTTGTTTTGCAGTTTAGTTTATATTTGAGTTTATCTTGCTTACTGTCGAGCCATTATTTTTTTAACATATATAGCATGATGCACCACATGCGTCTCTTTATCCAGAATCCATCCAAGTGGATTCCTCACCTAAGATATATAAATAATGTTTCAGAATTAATAACTTGTTTCTTAAATTAAAATTCATTTTGTTTTGTTTTGCAGTTTAGTTTATATTTGAGTTTATCTTGCTTACTGTTGGGTCGTTATTACTTTCAACATATATAGCATGATGCATCACATGCGTCTCTTTATCAGAATCCATCCAAGTGGATTCCGAATCCGCAGAATTCCAAGCTCACCTAAGATATATAAATAATGGTTCAGAATTGATAACTTCGTTTCTTAAATTAAGAATGGAGAATAGTGATAATTCAAACTCATTTTATATCTTGAAATATATATTGGGAGCTACTGGAACCGTCTTTTGTTCTTTTCAGTTAATCCCCCAAGGTAACATAGTTTAATCAAGTTTATTTAAGTGCAATGTAATAAGTAATGCTATATATAATAATTTTGTAATGTCATGTTTTTAAACAAAGTGCATAAGAATTGGAAAAATAAGTCAACGGAAGGTACGTCATTATAATAATATCTGTCCATTTAAAGAACCAGAAATAAAAGAAGTTTCCTATCGATTGTATTGAATAAATTATGTAAAGGTTCAAATTTCCTGTTCGCATTCGTTTGATAATTAGAAGGAAGTAAACAAGAGTAAATCATGTATCATATGCAATCCATATGATTTCCTGGGACACTTAAAGAACACGAAACCCAGTGATCATCATCATGCATGACGTCATTTGTTTACTAGCCTAAACTATACGCTAACCCTAACTTAGGCCGAACACTTAATCATGTGATGTAATGATCACGAAAATATCACTGGGTTCCTTGTTCTTGAAACTACCCGTAATTTATAGGTTGAGCCTTGTTCGGGCCAGACCCGGGCCTAGATTTGTAATTCTATAATGAATTGGACCGGGCCCGGGCTGGGACCTAAGCAAACCCGGCCAATTGCACACCCTAGCGGGGGCAAAACAATCATTTTTACAGCCGTTTTCAAAAATTTGTGGAAGATGCTGATCACTATATCATATATTATGGAGAATTCACGATATTTCCCAGATTTCCGGAGTTTTTAAGACCCGCTCTAATCGGATTTTTAATTTTTACTAAGCAGAATTTCCACATATTCGATTCTCCACATGGGTATACGGAAGTCGTTTCCACATCTTTTTTGAAACAGCTGTAATATTCCTACGCATACATCTAAATGTACCTTTTTGATAATAAATCACAGAATAAATCACATGATATACATATGTTCATATCAAATAAATGCGCACATTTATTCGTATATTAATTAATGTAAAGCAGGTATAAAAAAAGTAGGGTACATTTTGATGCATAAAAAAGTAGGCACAGGAGCATCAAAAACGTATGTTTCGCATAAAGGAGATCAAGTTAATCATGTGGATTTCCCATAATACACTACTTAGACCTTTTTGAAATCGTTGATATGATCAAACCTATTCTCATGAATGGGATTCTGGAAAATTTAAATGATTATGTGTCATTGCATTAGCATTTACCTTTTTTTTTTTTTGCGAAAAGGTCTTTCACCTTTTACGATGTCTATTTGGGTTGGTATAATTTTGTTAATTCATTAATTTAATTCCTTTTCAACCTTTCTTACAAATTATTTACAATAAAAGACTGCATCATGCTTGTTTTATGGAATTTACGCGGTAGTTGATGAACTTTCAATCGCCCTAATAATTCAACCACTTGCATATGGTGTGCTGAGCTCAATATGTTTTATTCAATGCTTGTATTATGATAACAAGTTTAATCAAAACAAAAAGACAGCCGGATTCATATTTATTGTTATTTGCATAATATGGGCCGGATTACAAAGCGGCTGTATTAATGGAATTAGGGTAATTAACTATTTAATTATATTACTATAAATATAACCTGTTTCCATTTATATGTTCAATCGTGGCGTGAAATCAAAATAAATAGCAATATGTTAGTTCAGGTCGGAGCTAAAATTAGAATTGTAAGATAGGTGGTAGCAAAGATGGTTCATAACCAAAGTTTTGCAAAAAAATTTTCGTGTGTAGAATTCGAGTTATATAAATGATTTTTTAAATCATTTTGATTCACGTTACACCTGATCGTATTTTAATTGATAGAGCAGGGACACTAATTATTTTTGTTTCAAATTTTAGTATGCTAGTGAAAAAAATATAGACTGGCCAAAAACAATTTCTTGGATATTTCCAAATATACTGAGCTTCATCGGATATGTACCCCAATATTACGAAATCTATCGTACGTTAGTTTTTACCTAAAAAACAATTTTATTAATAAGTACTATTAATAGTTAACATATTAATAGTTAATATTTTCATTAAATTTATTAACTTTTTTAGGAAGAAAAGTTGTATGTGGTATTTCGTTGATATTTTTAACAATTGACATACTTGGATTTGGTCTTTCTGCATTAAGTCTAGGTGAATAATTTGAATTTTTTTAATTTCTATAATAAAACTCAATATTTATTAACATCTATTTTTTTTTAGCTTTTAATCCACCTCCATTTGATATATTTGCTGCATTATATTATCTTTCTGCAATCACGTTTGATTTGATCATTATAATATTATATTTTATTCTTAATATCCTGCGTAAAAACAATGAACTTAATAATAGACAAGAGAATAATACCATAAGTAATGAAAAATTGGTGATTACGATTGATGACAGAAATAATAATAACTATAGTAATGAAGAATTGCAGATAACAATTGATGACAGAAGTAATAATAGTCATAGTAGTTGATGACAAGAATTACAAGTAATAATTGATGACAAAAGTAATAAGCATATAATTTCAAATACATAATTTATTCTAATATAATATCTGTAATTGATATTACAAACCAATTTTCTTATAAGTTTTTTTTTTTTTGTGCTTAAATACGGGAACTACAAGAGTTAATGTTGAGGGAATGCAATCCTGAAGATTTTATTTTTAAACACATTATTAATTAAATTTTTCTTCATTTATCAGGAGGTTACGTTAATTTGAAATGCGCGATAAATATTTAATAGATTTTTTAAAAAAAAATTAGAATTAAATTATTATATAAATATAAACAAACTTATTTGTAACTATTTACAATTTGAAAAATATATAAAAAAGTTATAGCAAATAATAATTTTTGAATAAAATTAATGAGTGTCCTATACATTTTACCGATCATTTTGTTCATGTGAAAATTAAATATATTCTTGATTCATTTTAATGAGTTTCATTATTATGGGAGAAAATCTCGTGTTTCAGAATAGAACGAAACTCAGTTGGCTATGCAAATCAAGTCAGTTAATAAAATTATTAGCATTAGAAACCTTTTTTTTTTGGTTTAATTATGAATAATAGCTCATATTATCCCTTTTGAATGTAAAGAACGAGCTACATTACGTGAAGATCTGGGTATAAAATGCCCCTATGTGTTATAGAATTGGGGGAACAGGTAACGAACTCAGATTTAGCACCTATAGATAACGAGAATGGGTTCGGTATACATAACATTTATGAGACAATAATTCGGTATTTATCAATATAACAATTAACATAAACAGCAACCCAAAACCCAAGGATAAGTCAACACTGCCTACTTCCTATATGTTAATTAGACCCATAGGGCTTTATTGAATGGATTAAGAGTCATTTTATACATGATGGCAAGTGGAGCAAATTTGCTCCGTTTTACATGACCATCGTTACTTTCACACATTTTTCGCTCCCATCTACTACTCAACTATTGCTCTATCTGCTCCAATTCACTCGTGAAAGACTGTTTATACAAGCTCCCAACAGGTTTCAACAAGACATAAATCTATACTAAGCCCAAAATAAACAAATACAATACAATGATCAGCGTTTTGATAAATTCAGTAATATACAATGAGAAATTATAGTTAATTATAGTAATTTCAGTAGTTCAGTACCACTATTGTATATTACTGAAATTATCAAAACGCCGATCATCAATTTTTTTGGGGCTTTATTTCCAGGTTTTCATTCTTCCGCACTCAAATATAAAAATAAAAACTACCGTACAGCGTAGACTAGAAGACCCCCTTTTATAATACCCATCTCAATTTTCAGAGGCTTAGAATGTAAAGTACCCCCGGGTACTAAGACGGATTAATTGAACTTGTGAATGTAAAATACCCGGGTACTAAAGATGGATTAACCACTTAGAATATATAAAACATTACTGCGGCACTCATATAGTACAACTTATACAACCCTGCGCTGACCATAGTATCCCTCCGACTATAATACCAATATATACTGCTTAAATTATAAAGTAACCTGGGTATTTTAGTCCACGCTGTACGGTATGAATTAAAATTGTGTACGTCACGAGGGATTCGTGACACCCTATTTATAAAAAAAAATAAAGTTTTATTTTTTAAGAAAAAAGTATATACGCAAAAAAAAGACAAATTAAAATTTGTACCATACTGATCTGCGTAATATTGGTATAGGGAGGGGTTTTATTGATCTAGGTTTAACAAGAGTTTATCAATATGAAGATATAGTAATCTTATATTCATCGATTATAATAGTGATTTGCTGAAAGTTTATCGTTATGCACAAATTGTTGATTTTAAATTTTAGCTTACCTAAACTTAAAAATGAGCCTCGTCATTTTTGATAGTGCATATGCCATTTGAAAAGCTGAATTAAAGTTGTATTATCCGTTTAGACTGTCACCTTTGGCACATTTCATATACCGTTCAAATGTTTAGTTTGGATTGATCACAAATGCCTGATTAAAATCTACAGGCTCTACTTCGTCTTGTCCTCTACCAAGGTAAATTAACCCTAATTTCTTTATACTGATTCTTTCCATTTAAATTCTCGACTTTCTAACGTTTTGCATTCTTTAGCTCAATTTCCAATGACGTATCCAGATCATGTGCGACAAAAGTTTTCCCTCGATTACATAATGCGAATGCACCATGTTCATTGCTATCGATCCTGTCCTATGAGATAATAATGATGCCTGACAAACCTAATTATGCAATGACGAAGTATTTTCATCAATGGTTTCGTCTGACGAACCTTTGATGATTGTTTTTCCTATTAAACTGTCAGTTTGTTATAATAAGTTCATAAAAATTAACAAGAATTAATTTTTAGCTTACATTACATTAATTTTGATTTTTTTACTATCCGTATAGTTCTATCTGATACATCCCGATGAATACGAATCATTGGGTAATTCGGATCAATGTGTAGACATGACACAAACAAAAATTAACTTCATGATTTCTTAAAAAAAAAAGAGCTTTATAAATTTATCTATGTCTATGCGGAGTTTCAAAACCGTGCTTACAAATCATTAATTATTTGTAAGCAAAATTTGAAATACAGCATAGACTAGCGATATAACGCTATGACTAAAATCCAAAAAAATCGGGGTTTGATTTTACATTTATTACGCCCAATGCTATATAACATTTATTCGTCATGCGCTTTATCATTTGTCATGAGTTTTATCATTTGTCATGAGTTTCATCATTCGTCATTTGCCAACTCAAAATTGCCTGACGAAATGATTTCATCATTTGTTAATGACGAAATTTCTTCATTCGTCAGACATCATTAGATTATAACAATCATTAACATTATACTGTATGTTCCTTCGACGAGTCCTAGTATTATATGTCTGTGAGCTTCACTTCGCCTCACAGGTTCCATAGTACCATTTATTTCTGTTAAGTGAGAAAGGCAACTACAAAAAAGCTGAACATACGTACATTTCACGTTGCACATTTATGTGATTGTACTTGCACTAGTATTTGTTTACATCACAATGATATAATGTGTATGTAATACGACATTTAAATCTTAACTCTTTCTAAAAATGAATAAACGAAAATCATTACCCCTACTCAAAAAGGATTTTGTGAAAATTAGTACAATGGTCATTTTAAAAAAGTTGAACGAAAACCATCCCTCTCACAATTCATTTTACACATGTAATCGCACTGGTTTGATGAAAGCTTACAATTTATTAGTATAGAAATGGTTCTATTTGAGTCTTATGCATTACAGCAATCCGATTTGCTATTGGACATATTGGACAGAATTTTCGGTGACAATTCCCTTAAATATCGGGTAACCCCGTGATATACGTATGTACCTGTTCTCCCATAAATATGATAAGTCGTGTAACAATAAATGTGTATTAAAGTTGATTGTCCTCCAAACTTAATCCCGATACACCACTGTGACAAGTTAAAATTTTTCATCCTTTTAAAAATGATCCCATTACCAAACGAATGTTTTATTGAAATATTAATTAACCTTAATAATCACGAAAGCTTATTTTCATGTCTTCTTGTAAACCGTTATTGGTTTAGAAATGCTGCACCGATATTATGGAGTAGGCCAGTTGATTTTGGAAATAGTAAATTCATAAGAACTTGTCTTATAGCTTTAAACGCCGAAGAACAAGCTTTATTAATACCATTTAAAATAAGACTTCCAAATGCTCCAGAACTCTTATATAAATATACTTCATATATCAGATTTGTCGAATCTTGCTCGGATACCGGAATAGTAGATTGGCTTAATAATGAAGGGCACTATCCTTGTAAACTATCTTATTTTGAAAAGGATGAATATGTGGTTCAGGCTATAAAATCTTCTCTAATTGCGATGCTTTTACGAACTAGTAATAAAATTAAATCTTTAATTCTTAGCAGAATTAATTATAATCAAGTTGCCAAATTACTTAGAAGCGCTCTTGCTAAAAGTATGGCACTGAGTTCTCTAAGAATCTTGAACAATAAACTCGACTCAGAAGAGTGTAAGATATTAGCTGAAGCTCTTTGTAAAAACACTTCTTTGACTTCCCTAGGACTTTATAAGATTCAACTTGATTCTGAAGGTGGAAAAGCATTAATAATGTCACTTTGTAAGAACACCACTTTAATCACTTTAACACTTTCTGATAACGAGATTAGTAATGAAGTTGGAAAAACACTTGTAGATATTCTTTATGAAAACTATACATTATCTTCTTTAAATCTTGAATATAACAAACTTGGTCCAGAAGTGGGAGATGCACTTGCGAAGGCTCTATATATTAATACCACTTTAACTTACTTAGATCTTTCGGTTAACCTTCTTGGTTCCGAAGGGGGAAAAGCTTTAGCAAAATCACTTTATAAAAACAATAGTTTAACTCACTTAGTACTTTATGGTAATCAACTTGGTCATGAAGGGGGAAAAGCATTTGCAAACGCTCTTTGCAAGAACACAGCTCTAACTTCCTTAGATCTTGGTTGTACTGGTCTTGGTAGTGAAGAAGTAAAAGCATTAGCAAAAGCTCTTTGCAATAATGTAACTTTAACTTCACTAGACCTTAGCTTTAATCGACTTGACATCGAAGGAATAAAAGCATTAGCAGAAGCTCTTTACAAGAATGTGGCTTTAACTTCTTTAAATCTTTATAAAAGTAACCTTGGAGATAATGAAGGAAGAATATTAGCAGAAGCGCTTTCCATAAATGCTACCTTGGTCGTTTTGAATCTTAAAAAGAATAATATTGATTGTACAATTTTAGATATAATTGAGAATTTGCTCGCAAGAAATAAGAAAAAACAATATATCTAGTTAAGAGTACAATCAAATGATTGGTGTAATATTAAAATAACTACGATGTTGTGATCAAAAAATATTATATTGCATCCGATTAAATATAAATGTTTATTTATTATTATAATAAAAGTTTTTTATTATCTAAAAATGCTATAAAAGTATAGTAAATAAAAAAGTTCTCTAAATTGACAATAAAAAAAATTGTATTTAGGATATCTAACCGTGCCTCAGGGACACGGATTTATTATGATTTAAGCTATTATTTTCACATTAGTATATAATAATTAGTAATTTTGTGATTTTATGTAGTTTGTCAAGAATCGCTCTACCGTGCTTGTTTTCCTAGTAATAATTAATGGAAAATATCATGTAATAGTAATTAACTAGTGGTGCCACGTCGCAATTACTAATTATAATCGTTTTTTTATATACTAGTAATAAACGATGGCATTTCATAGAGCTAGAACCTTATGTATTATGTCTTGAATTTTTTTCGTTTAAAAAAAAAAAAACGTAAAATTAGTGTTATAAATTATATTATTATTATTATCAAATAACATAATATGATAAAAACTTAATCATAAATAATAGAATGTGTTAATTTTCAGGTATATAGTTTTATATTTGTACGCATGCAAACATGCAAACAGGCATAAGCTTAATTTAATAATTCATAAAATTATAAAAATAACACCCTTAAGCTAATATTTATTATCTGCATGGAGTTTCTTCGATTCCTATATTATAAATAGTAAAACATTATATTAGTTACAATGTGATAATTTGTCTATAAACTTTCTTTTATGTCCTAACAGAAAAATTCTTCGTGAAATTTTTATATATAATACAACCATCAAAATCCAAACACTAATTCTAATCCTAAAGAGCTGTTAGACTGATCATAAATAACTTTAGAATAATTATTTAATATAACTATAAAGAGCTATTAAAATATTAGTTATTTAACATCAACCAATAAAGTGCCGTTAAAATTATTATTTGACATAACTGCTAGAATGATTATTTTAACACTAACTATAAAGAGCTACGTAGTAGAATAATGGTTATATGCATCAATCCATAAAGTGCCGTTAGAATGATTATTTAACGCTAACCATAAAGAGCTGTTAGAATGATTATTGATTATTTGATTATTACCTTTAACCTGATGATTGACTCATTCGCGCGCTATGGTCACTTTCCACGTTTCGTATATTATGCAAAAGAATTCTATCCCGTGAAATATTGGAGAAATCGCAAATTACCCATCATTACAATAGATAATATTATAAAATATATTTAAATCAACCTGTCATTTAATAATGAGTCTAATATCTGTAATGAAAAAAAAGTCTATTCAAATTAGTGATGCCGACTAAATGGTTTAATATCCAAGAGGTGTTTAGAAAAGAAGCCTTGAATACAGAGATGACATGTTACGATATTGGACATTTGGACAATGTTCAATTGTCCAAATAATTTGATTGGACATAGTAACTTTTTTTTATTGGACATTAAAAAAAATTAATTTAATTTGGCCTCTATTAACAGCCCTAGATATAGCTGAAAAATATCTTGATAACTATACTAAACAACAAAGATTCTGTTTACGTAAAAGAAGGCATATATTGGATTCAAAAGATAATACTATTATAAGATAAGAATGTATAAATACTATCATTCTAGTGAACATGAACCTCAAAAAGTAATTTTAGAGGAGATCAAGAGTTGAATATAGTTGGGTGTTCTTGGCATATCAACTTTGCTTTTTCTAAATTAGGGGATAGAGTTTAGGATGTTCTATAGAATAGGTGGGCAAACTCCGCAAAGTCCACAACTCCGCTAAATATTTATTAATAATTACTAATTATTGGCGGAGTTTATTTTTATATTGCCCACCTATTCTATAGAACATCCAGAGTGTATTTTAACAGCATAATCAGGGAACATAATCATGAAATGAAATCTATTATAGCTAAAAAGCATCAAAGTTTCAAAAATTATCAAATCCTGGACAATCTATGGGAAAATAGGTATAGAGACTTAATATAATTTATTGGCTGCTTCATTTCCACATAAAGTAATAAAAAAGATTTAAGTAATGCTATACAATGATTTAAATAACAGGTTAAACCAGATAAAAATAATATATATAATATTCTTACTAAGTTATATTTAAAAAAGAAAAATGATCCAAGATGGATTGTGATCAAACCTGAAGAGAGAAGACTAAATTTGCTATTATGGATGTCGTCTGATCAAATTAATGTTTACAAAAAATTTCGTGATGTTGTAATTGTCAATACAACATCTAAAACTATCCAATTTGATATGATCTTAATATTGGTTATAGTTGTTAATAGTAATTTCCAGAATTTAATTGTAGCTTCAGCAATTATAGAAGACGAAACAGAGACAATATTTGCATGGGTTCTTGAAGAATTAAAAGGCTCTTGCAATCCTACATCAATAGTCTTATATTCTGATACTAATCTAGCATTAATATCATCTGTATGAAATATTTATTCGGAAATATAACATCATTGTATTTTTCATATAGACCTAAATTTAAAAAAGAAACTTAAAGAAAAATTGCATGATTAATTTGAGTTATTTTGTTCAAAATTTTTTATAATACATAATTCTCTATACTATAATAAATTTAAAACTGAATAGAAATTTCTTATTAATGAATACCAGAATTGTAAAAACTGTTTTACTAAAGCCTTATATATTTGCAAAAGTAGTTGGGCTTATTATACTATTAATCAAAATTTCACAGCTGAGATTCAGAGTATACAATAAGTGAAAGTATATAACAAAGTAATTAAAAGTAGACTTACCAAATCTTTACATTTAGCTAAAGTAGTTGATAAAATCCAAAAAGTATTTAATGATCAATTAAAGAAAGCAATTTAAGTAAGTTCAAAAATGAAATTCTAACAAAAGAAATACCAATATAACTAATGAATACATTTCTGGACTTGACAAAGTTTTACCAAAATACTTAACACCACAAATTTTTCAGAAACTCGAGGTCCAATCTGGATAAATTTGCCAACTATTTATCTGTATTATTATATCTAGATATCTATCTGATTATATCAGATATCCAAATAATTTATCTAAATTATTTGATATATCTATAACAAATATCAAACAGATATTCAAACAAATATCTAAACAGATAAATATATTTAGAAATCTTTTTGCATATTTTTATACACTCTTGTATAATCGAGTATAATTATACATATTTTTATGTATAATTATATAGGATTATACAAGAGGTGTATAAAAATATGCAAGGAGATTTCTAAATAATACCCTACTTAATACTGCATTTCTTGCATAAACAATTTGGATAATTCATTGAATAACCAAATATCTAACTATTAATCTATTTTAACTGTTTATCTATAAAAATCAGAATAAATAAATAAACAATTAATAGATAGGACCTTTATCAGAAACAATGTGATCAAATAGCACAATCATTATATTATAATATATTTTTAATTAATAATTGGCAACTACTTTTGGAGATAAGATTTATTAAATATTAGGTAAGAGAATATTATAAGATATTAAACAAAAGTAATTACTATCTATTAATACTTGCCTCTGCTTTAAATAACAGACAATTCTTATCAAAAGGATATGGCAAGAAAAGATGATTATGATCAACCACAATCCTTTTTTTTATCATTACTAGAAAATATACCTCACAATTTAGTTTAGAAAGTGTAAAAAATAGTTAGATATAGTAAACAAAATTCAAAGTTACAGTATATAATTCTCTTTAATGATAGCTTATATTTGTGTACTTGATTTATACTAATTAATAGAGAAATTGTGTATTGCAGACTTTTTTTAAGCTATTTTTTATTTAACTAAAGTATAGTTTCATATTTTTTTAATTCTTTGAAAATAGTATAATAGCAGCAAATATAATACTACTCAAGAAAATATATCTATATACTATTTCAAAAAAATAAATTAAACCTTATTTCATCTAAATCTTTATTATTTAAGTATTTGACAAGATTTAGACAAATGTCTAACTAAGGATTTTGAAATTGTATAGATTTTAGAAAAGTGAGTTTTTATTATAAAGATACAAATACAAGCAGAATAAAGTTATAGTTATCATCACAGCTTCTAATAGCAAATGATAAATCAATATATACTTGGAAGCAAATTAAAATATTAAATAACCTCAGTCTAAGAGAGAAAAAAGCGAGTTGGTTTGATATACTAGAAAGAGAAATGATTGATAACTTGACAACAAGAGAGATCAATCCAATATACAAGCTCAAGATATATAATCCAAATATACCCAAGATAAGTATAGAAAAAGTTAGAGAGAATAGAAGATCTAAAGAATAGGTAATGTGGGAGGATAAAGACTATGTACAGATCAGAATTGGGAAAATTATAGATAAAAGAGAAAAGTATACTGAAATAGAAAACTATACAGAGACAATTAAGCTACAATTAGAGATAGAACAGAAATTTTTGCAATGTGTTGAAAACCAAACACCTATTTCAGTAAAATATAGAAAACTAGAAGACATATTATACCTAGTACAAAATTCAAAAAATAGCCTGCAAATAATCTTTAGTACCGTATTACTGCGTAATAATGCACAGGAGTGAAATTATGAATTTCAGCCTGAATTAAGCTTAATTCAGGCCGAACCTTGAAATAATACTCATGAGCATTATTACACAAAAATACAGTACACATTTTTTAGAAAAAGCTATCAAAAAAGATGTAAAAAGAAAGATAATAAAAGCAAAAGAGATACAGAAAGTTAAGAAAAAGAAATTACCAGTTATAGGTTGTATAAGATAGAAAATATTACTAATAAATAGAATAGTTTAAGATAGAATACTTAGAAATAGTTTAATAGAGACTTTAGATCAAAATGAAGCTTTAGATAGTTTTTTGTTTTATATAGATGGCTCACTTAAAACATCAGAGAATGGTATAAAAATAGAGATGAGTTGTGGTATAGTACAAATTATTCTCCATCAAATATCATGTAGTACCAAGAAGTGGTTCTTATCAACAAGAGCAGAGTTAGTAGCAATTCTGATAGTATTGTTAGTAATATCTAAAAAAGGAAAATAGAAGTAAGAACAGACAGTAGTATAGCTATATTTGCAATTAAAAAAAGGCTTAAAGTAAACAAAGCAAGACAATAGTTTAAAATCAAAAAGTGTGACCTGATTGCAACAATAGCAGAAGTAATCAAAATGAAGCAACTAACTCTGTATCTCACAAAAATAAAGAGTCACTCAAAAGATATCTTTAATGATTTGGCAGATATCAAAGCCAAAAAAGGTGCTAGATTCACAGAGCTCTTAATTCCTCCAGCATTAGATACGAAAAAATTCAAATTAAGATACAAATGAGAGAATAAAGTAATAGAAAAACCAAAATGCTTATTTATTAAAAAAGTCATAAATAGAGTAGAATGGACATTTGTACATAATAGTCAGAATGCTACACATCAAAAAAGAGCAACTTTATAGTATTGGCCAATTTTCTATAAAATCTTGGAGAGTGGAATTAAGCAGAGTGATTACACTTACAAATCAAATACAGTACAGCTCTTTGAATTAAAGTATATAAATAATGTTTTGCCAGTATTTGAAAAGCTCGGCTGAAGAAAATCTGAAATATACAAAAACAGATAAATGTACCGTAAAAATCGGACCCAGGTACCCCGGGTATTTTCATAATTTAAATTTGTATCTGGGGTACTTCTATATAGGGGGTACACTGTATAGAGTCAATATGTTTTACTATATTTACCTGCCATGATATATATAGTGTATATAATACATGTGTACCTGGGTATAAATCACCATCTAGCTCTTAAAACTGGCGGAGGGTACACGGCATGGAGGGGTACCTGAGTCCGATTTTTACAGTATTATATACAAAAAAAACAGAAAGTATTGAGTATTTAGTTAGCTATGAAGTATCAATAGGGCTAATATGAGATATTAAAGAGCAAGAGGTAGAGATGACTCTTAAAGAAATAAAAGAATTGCAAGATATTGATGGGAAGAATGAAGAAATCCTAGTCATGTTGAAAAAAGAAAGTCTTACCAAGGAATCACAAAAAAGAGAGAGATGGATAAGAGGTCTCATTATAAAAGAGGACTATACTGAAATACAACCAGTATTTATGTCCAACAAGCAAACTAGAGATTTTGTTGTAAGGTTTTGAAAGAAATGAATAAAAAATATCTATGATGAGATTTGGGCTGAAAGATGCAAATTAGTACAAAGCTAGAAGAAGAAAAATGGTATAGTGTAAAAAGATAAATGAGGACACAGCGCAAATACCAGAAAAAAAAAAAAAAAGTAACTGAAAAGAAAGACCCAACAAATAAGACTCACAAAAAAGAAGAAACAAAAGAAAGGAGCAGAAGCAAGATAGGAGTCTATAATCAACATAGCAAATAATGAAGTTTTAAGTTGAATAAAAGATGAACAGAGAGCAGAATGGTAGAAAATAAATTAGTAGTCTTGACAGGCTGTAAGGACCATCCAATGAAGTATTGATGAACTTGTTTGCAAGGTAAATTAATATGAAAGTAAATCTTACTATAGCAGGTTGTGTATAAGTATTCATAAAACAACCAGGTAAGCCAATACTTGTAATTTAGATATCAGAGGATTAGTCCTCTAAAAAAATTTAATATTTCAAAGTATAATATTATTAAATTTAATAAAGTAGAGACAAGACTGGCAAAATTTAAAAAAAAAAATTATCTAACAAACTTATATGATTATGAAAAACTCTTTCTGTTATTTTTTTTTTTATGTTTTATGATTTTCCAATATTCAAAAAAACTTAGCGAGTAACTCCCTACTAATTATGATCATAAATTGTTAGATAATATCATTATTAGACAAATTTGTAAATAATAGCAATGTGGCTCAACTGGTTAAATGATTGTCTGACATGTGCCACTTTGTGGCACTTGTTAGCCAATCATTTGTTCAGTTGAGCCAAATTGCCATTATTCACAAATTTTTACCCTATAATATATACTTATAGAGCTAAAAATATTTAGACTAGTCTAATTAATGCTAATGCTATTGGATAATGATTTAAAATAATTTATTTATTTTCTTTTATGCCAATTTTATGTAAATTAATATATGTGATTAATATAATGCTAATTTTGTGCAGATTATATATAGTAATATAGCACTAATTTTATATATTACATAGTAAATTTTCAAACTTTAACTACTCATAACTTTAAACTATAAACTTTTTTAAAAAATTCTAATTGATAATTTAAATAGAACTAATGAAAAACAATAGTTTTATTAGTTATATTTTTAAAAAAAATATTTAAACTGAGATTTTTTAAAAATATATAATTTTTGATAAGAAGTAACTTGGACATTATAGAAAAGATTCTATTTATTCTTTTTGTTAAACTATTATAATAGTAATATATCTTTTAAAAAAACTACAATTACC